TTTCCCACTATAAAACTTTGTACTCTCTTATTTCATCTGGAGATAAATATGTAGGAAATCGATTAGCATTTCCTTTTCAATAAATAATTTTAAACTCGCACAACTTGATCCCCGAAGTTCATGTCCTTAATATTCGCTCGCATTATAAGAGGTCCGCAATTGTCATAATAGCACATGAGAATACCGGTTTGAAAGCGAGGAGGAAAGCTAGTTAAAACCCGTGTCTACCTCATAAAAGATCAAAGATACTATTTAATAAACTGACCCAGATTACCCTAGCTCAAAACTAAATTCCTCACTTTAGGTTGTTCAGATCTCAATGATCCACCTAGGCTATCAATCATTTAACGAAGAGCTCGTTTGATCAATTCCTTATAAAACCTCGAAAATTGTCAGGCAAATTTTACAAAGGAGCAACAAGAGTAAAGTTATATCCATCGTAGGATCACAATGATCAAACCAGAAGTAATCGCTCTTACAATAAGGGCTCCACTTGATTAGTCTTATAGTTCTCACTCCAAAAACAGAAAGAACCAACGAACGAGGTCCCCCTTTATACTTGTTGCTAGGTGGATGATCATTGCACATGGAGCAGGCAGTGAGATATTGACATCAACAAATCGGCTCAAGTCAGTTACCGTCCACACTCATGGCACCAAAGGCAGCAATTGTTAAGTGATTTATTCATACTAGTAAATCACTGAGGACCGTCATCAATAACAAACTCGTGACTCAATCCTCTCAAGATCAGATCACTCCTTTATAGTGGTAACGGAGGGTTGATGGTTTCAATCAGTAAAGTGCAAGAGAACGCACTGAAACATCCCCTTGATAGGTGAAAATAAAAAAATGAGGACGACGCAGATGATGTCAATGGATACTCCAATTTCCATCTCGTTGGTGCGCAAACACCACACGACTCCATCCCCTTTTCACAGACAGACCTCTAGCCTAGTGAGTAAACGATCATTCAACTAAAAAAACTCATATCAGACATTGAACGCGGTGGTGATGCTTATTGCTTCACCCGATGTGCAAGACGCGCAGATGAGTTTGGACCAAGTCTCTGATCACAGTGTCTCGTGCGAGCGTCGTAGCAGTCGTCTCATGGCTATTACCTTCGACAGGAGATTGATGACGGCAATATACTTCCTTGTGTACATGTTTAAGAGAAATTGTATGAGCATAAGTAGTACTCATACCGTATGTGTCGGCGTTACCTTACTCATTGCTCATAGACTTTCCCCAATCTCTCGAGTGAATCTCTAACATTCTGCACCTATCAGTCTCACCAACGACCTTCATGACATAATCCTCGTTTCTTACGTAAAGTTACGTGTAGTTAATGAAATCAACTACATGACACATGCAAGTATCTCTCCCTCAAGTTGAAGCTTGAATTGTATCCTTTGTATATGTTGTTTGTACCTCTGTGTGTCTGCATCGTTCTCTCACAGTCCACAACCACCTCACGAACTCAGTGACTTTGCTCGCAGCACAATGAATCAAGTAAGATAGGATGACAACAATCGAGTCATGCTTCTGTAGATCGAGTAGAATGCGTAGATCGAGTAGATTGCGTAGAACTCCTAAGGAAATCTAGTTTCCGAATGCCTGAACGCAATCCAGTCCTTTTCACTGTTTGTAACTGTCACGTGTACTCCATGCTCTTGCCTGCATACTGTGACTTAAGCGGATAGTAGAGTGATGTCAACCTAGTTGTCTTCGAGTAGCATTTCCGTTAGTCTCTCTCTTCTCTGTCTCTCATTGTCGCCCGTATACCACATGCACCCCCCTCCGCTTTTACCCTGCTCAGCGCCTCTGCATGAAGAAGATGACGTCAACCGATACATCTTCTCACGTAGTACTCCCACATAAGTCTGACTTCCCTCTACCCCTGTCTGACCATGACACTTGTCCGCTGGTTATAACAACCTCGCGACCTCGATCATCACGAGTTGGTCCAACCTAGGAGTAGGTGACGTTAACAATAGTTAGTATGTATGCCTTTCACGAGTGACTTACGTTTGTCTGACTTTTCCCTCTCGAGTATATCGCACACACTTTGCTTCGTGCATACTCTCTCTCTCTCTCTCTCTCTCTCTCTCTCTCTCTCTCTCTCTCTCTCTCTCTGAAATCTAACTTCTCCTTTTCTCTCTTGATTGTGAATGTGTTCTTTGTCGGTGGCGATCTTGGTCCCTTTGCTGCCGCGAGCTGACCTCCAAGACATCTTCCACCGACTCGGCCGGCGGATGCTCCCGTTGCCCTTAAGCCCAACCGTGTCAGGATTGGGTTTCCTCATCACCTATTTGGAAAGAATGTGGGAGACCACGCGGGTATTCAAAATTAGGACTCTAATTAGATTATGATTTTGGGGTCATCGTACTTTTTTTGTAGCTGTACGATGCTCCTTACTTGGGCGCGCTTTGTTGCGCTCTGTCCTGCACTTTATTCCCGCCGCGCCTTAATTATAATCTCAACTGTAATTTCCTCTTGTTCTTTTCTTGGCGAGTGCGGGTGTAACTGTAATCTTCTCCCGCTTGGCTCCTCTCCGCATCGAAACATGCAACCCCTTCCCCTTCGTCTCATTGGCCAGAGCGGTACATGATTGGATCGATGAATGGGGAGTGACTACATCCGCCGCGCCACGGCCCAGGCATACAAACCATAAACACCTCTTTCCTTTCTCTTTCCCCCTACCTTAGCGTAATCTTGACTATCTCGCGCAAATGCTAATTGCTATAAATTTCGCAAGCACGACTAAATCGCTCTCTAATCTAAACTTGGGGGAGTTACCGTGGCCAAGAGGATCGACTAACGAGTGTGAGCATGCAAAGAGGTGAGTTCGGAGTTGGGTGATCCAACAAGCTGGTGGCGAATGCGCGGGGTTGATGTGTGGCCGAGACAGACTATGGAGCACGGGCGAACCCGGCGTGCATACTCGGGCTAAGCGGGATGACAACTCTGGGTTGTTGGAAGGTGCGAGGCGACCGACTGCCTGCATCGAGTGCGAGCGTGCAAAGAGGTGAGTTCAGAGTTGGGCGATCCAACGAGCTGGTCACGAATGCGCGGGGTTGACATGTGGCCGCGACGGACTGTGGAGCACGGGCGAACCCGACGTGCATACTCGGGCTAAGTGGGATGACAACTCTGGGTTGTTGGTAGGTGCGAGGCGACGGACTGCCTGCATCAGAGTAAGGAGGAGTATGGTGAAACTGTGAGAGCGCGCGGGGCATTGGGGTGTATGGTGACTTCTCTCCTTCCCTTTTATAAATTTTGGTTTCGACTTTCGCCATTTTTGCCTTTGTAATTTCAGACTTTTGTACGATTGTGTGGATCCCTCCTTTCTTCGGAGTTTCTCTTGTACATCTTTCCTTTTATGGATGATGTCATGTGTGATGATAGCGGCTTGATCGTTTCAATTTTGTATGCATAATTCATGTTTATGTTGGAGGATTGAATGATTTTGAAACGCGGATGCATGCATAACCTTAGTCCGCTGGAATTGAGGGGAAATAGTGAAGTTGGTCGCCTCAAGTTGCTTTGTGAACGGATCTCGTGCCACGTGTATACGTTACAGTCAACCAGTAAAACGGTCCGTCATGTATACGCGCACTCGCATACGTCGCCCACGTATGGGCTGTACTATTGGTATATTTCTGCATGGATAGGAACCGCAACATTAATGTGAATTTGTTGCATGGAATTCAGTGTCCCCTTTCGGTTAACGGATCATGACTACCTCTACCGAATGTTGGGCTTCGTCTGGCGGACTTGTACCGACGCTGAGCATCGAAAACACAGCCTTCGATTGAGACCGTCCACATCAAACTACGAGATCTATGAATCCCGTAGGCACCGTGTGTTGAGCAGCGAGATACCCATTGTGTTCCTCCCATACACCGTATATGGACCCGTCCTACGCACCAAAACCGGCCATCCTGATTACCCGGCCCTAAAAGCCGTGAACTGAGAAAGCCCCCTTTCGTCCGAACCCTCCTAGATTTGCCGGCCATCCTGATTACCAGTAGTGCCGCGCGACCCAGATTTGCCCAGTTGGTAACCACTACGTTCCAGGGAGTAGGGTGGGGCTGCCAGTGGGGGGTGCCAGGGAGTAGGGTGGGGCCGCCGGTTGTGGAGGGAGGCTAACGTGAATACCGAGCATTTTGCCAGTAGCTGCACCTCCCATCTACTTCCCCCACCCCCCATCGAGTAGCAGCAGCAGTGGCTATGGCCAAATCTCTCCCACACACCACTCACAACCCACTCACGCTCACAAGCACTTCGCATTTTTCTTGGACTAGTAGTTTTTCTTGTTTGCCTGTTTGGTGTGCTTGTAAGTCGTCTGCCCTCCCGCCTCCCCCCGTGTCCTCCAGCCTATTTTGTTTTCCTCCGGGTATTGGCATCTGCTCAGGACCACCCGTCTTCCCCGGAACACAACGCACCCTCATCATGACCGCATTCAACCGGAAAGATGGCTTGTACACATTCACAATCAGGGTGCGTTATGTTCGGGGGAAGTTGGTAGCGGTTCGCCTATTTGGTCTGTTTGTGTGTAGTCTGCCCTCCTGCCTCCCCCATGCCCTCCATCCTATGTGGGACTCTGGAAAGCTGGTCATGGTAAGCCACGGGTGTATGAAGTAGATTCAGAGAAGTAAGTGGCAGCAGAGAGCGTTAGTTTGGACCTGATCAGGGCCTGGTTTACTACTGTGATGGTGGGGTGCATGACGAGTACGCCATGGGATATGATTTTTGACACACAAAGACCACTTTTCTCAGGGGTATCGCAAACTGTTGGCGATGTAATGAGTCCTTATCCATCAGTCAAATGCACCCTGGGCAGACTGTCGAGGTTCAACCTCCTGATGAATCGGTGAAAGTCCGACGAAACAGTCTGGCAGACACTGGCGAGGTTCAGCCTCCTGATGAGCCGATGAAAGTCTGACGAAACAGTGGCACGCTTATGTATAGCGAATATGACGACGCTCGCACGTTGACAGGCGTGGGGGAGGGGGTAAAAAAAACTTTCCATCTGCTTTGCGGCCAGCAAAGGAAATAGGGTGGTTCTCGCGGCATTTGGGCTGGGCGTTCAATCCGGCGTGGCGAAGTGCTCTTTCTCTCTGGACGGTGTTTGAATGCGGAGAGGTGCGTGGAGAGGCGTAGCTGCCCCCCCTCCCCCCCCTCCCTCTCTTCACCCTCTTCGCTCGCTTGCTGGGTCTGGCTCCCCCTCTGTGTGTCTTCGGTGTTGTGCCTCAAGATGTGGAGCGTTCCATTCACACTCGGCCCAAAGAAGAAATAGGTGACTGCCTGCGGCTTAGCCAAGTGCACCCTCCCTCCCTCTCCCTCCCTCTCCCTCCTTCTCGCCCTCTCTCTCTCTCTC